GCAGGATCCAGAGAGAGCAAAAAGCCAGAACGTCTGCTTATATACAGATGTGGGCCACACCCCCAAGGAGACTCCCTTTCATCTGATTGGCTGCTCACAGTATATTCAATCATGGGAGTGATTACATTAAAACATGGAGAATCATGGCCCAGCCAAGTTGACACACAATCTTAACCATCACATCTAGCTTATCTTCTCGTGTTTGTGTATTGTTGGTTATGGTTTTATTCTATTAATGCTGTATATTAGGGCCTGTAGCATTGACCCTATTTTTTCTTTCATGATCTTTATAGTTTTTGGTTTTATATTTAGGTCTTTGATCCATTTTGAATTAGTTTTTGTGTCTGGTATGAGGTATGGGTCCTGTTTCATTTTTTTACAGTTGGATATCCAGTTTTGCCCACCATTTATTAAAAAGACTGTCTTTTGGGTTCTGGACAGAGCTGGAGAAGGATGTAGAGCATAATTCTAACTCACAAAAAAAGACCAGATTTATTGGCCTAAAGGAGACTGGAGATACCCCGAGAGTATGGCCCCCAGACACCCTTTTAGCTTAGTGGTGAAGTTACCTCCGAGGTTCGCGGTTCAGCCTGGGAGTGGACAGCCCCGTAAAACCAAATGAGACTAACGAGGTATAGGAGTTCCGTGACAAGGACCAGAAAGCAGAAGGGGACAAGGAAGCTGGTGATAGGGAACACAAGGTTGAGTAAGGATATTGTTGATGTGTTGTGAGATTGTTAACCATTGTCACAGGGCAACATTTGTAGTAACTGTTAAACGAGAAACTATTTTGTTCTGTAAGCCTTCACCTAAAGTACAATAAAAAAAAAAATGTCTTTTCCCCATTTAATGGACTTTGGGCCTTTGTCAAAGATCAAGTGATGAATTTACATCTGGGTTCTCGATTCTGTTCCATTGGTCAATATGTCTCTTGTACCAGTACCAGGCTGTTTTGACTACCATGGCTGCATAGTAGATTCTGAGGTCAGGTAATGTGAGGCCTTCTACTTTGTTCTTCTTCAATAATGCTTTACTTATCTGAGGCTTCTTTCCTTTCCATATAAATTTAATGATTAGTTTTTCCATCTCGTTTGCTACTACCTTTTAAAATTTTCTGAAATGTAAAGGATCATGGAAACCTTTACTCCTACAGCCTATAGCAGGGGTACCCCGAGCAGGGGTCTCTTTTTAAAAAATTTTTTTTATTGTTGTAGTTTAAATGAAGTTTACATTTCAAGTTAGTCTCCCATCCAAAAATTTATACACACATTGTTATGTGACCTTAATTGCTCTCCCCATACTGCGACAGCACACTCCTTTCCACCCCTGATTCCCCATGTCCATTCAACCAGCTCCTAACCCTCTCTGCCTTCCCATCTCTCCTCTGGACAGAAGCTGCCTGTTTAGTCTCTTGTATGTACTGGAGCTAAGAGGCACACTCCTCACGAGTATCACTGTATGTCCCACAGTCCAGTCCAATCCTTCTCTGAAGAGTTGACCTCGGAAATTGTTTTAATTCTGTGCGGATAGAGAATCCAGTGGCCATGCTTTCCGGGGTACCTCCAGTCTCAGTCAGACCATTAAGGCTGGTCTTCTTATTTGAGTTCTACACCCCACCTTTCTCCTGCTCCATCAGGCACTCTCTGTTGTGTTCCCTGTCAGGGTGGTCATTGGTGGTAGCCGGGCACCATCTAGTTCTTCTGGTCTCAGGGTGATGAAGTCTCTGGTTTACATGGCCCTTTCTGTCTCTTGGACTACTACTTTCCTTGTGTCTTTGGTTTTCTTTATTCTCCTTTGCTCCAGGTGGTTTGGGACCAATTGATGCATCTTAGATGGCCGCTTGCAAGCTTTTAAGACCCCAGATGCCACTCACCAAAGTAGGATGCAGAACATTTTCTTAATGAGCTTTGTTATGCCAGTTGACCTAGATGTCCCCTGAAAGCATGGTCCCGAGCAGGGGTCTCTTAACCTGGGACTACAGATGTCTCTTGGACCCTGTTTTAGTCATCTGTAACGCGTTGCTGTTAAGTCTATTCCAACTCATAGTGACCCTATAGGACAGAGTAGAACTTCCCCATAGAGTTTCCAAGGAGCTGCTGGTGGATTTGAACTGCTGACCATTTGGTTAGCAGTTATAGCTCTTAACCACTGCACCACTAGGGCTCCGTCTTAGTTATCCGGTGCTGGTATAACAGAAATACCTCAAGTGGATGACTTTAACAAACAGACATTTGTTCTCTCACAGTTTAGGAGGCTAGAAGTCTGAATTCAGGGCGCCAGCTCTAGGGAAAGGCTTTCTCTCTCTGTTGGCTCTGGGGGAAGGTCCTTGTCATCAATCTTCCCCTGGTCTAGGAGCTTCTCAATGCAGGGACCCTGAGTCCAAAGTATATGCTCTGCTCCTGACTCTTCTTGTGTGGTGGTGATGAGGTCCCCCTCCTCTCTGCTTGCTTTTCTCCTTTATATCTCAAAAGAGATTGACTCAAGATACAACCTAATCCTGTAGATTGAGTCCTGCCTCATTAACATAACTGTCTCCTACTCTGCCTTATTAACATCATAGAGGTTAGGATTTACAACACAGGAAAGTCACATCAGATCGCGAAATGGTGGAAAAACCACACGATACTGGGAATCATGGCCTAGCCAAGTTGACACACATTTTTTGGGGACACAATACAATGTATAACATACCCCTTGGAGGCATGTCCAGAATTCTGTGTGTGTCTGTGCACAGTCCTGCATTTTTGGGAGGACCCAAACTGTCATAATAGTCTCTTGGGGGTCCTATGACCCATATTGGCCTCCCTGCCTTTGAGGAGTCACACGACAACACAAGAGTCCTGAGTGACAGGCCCCCAAATGTCTGTGCTGTGACCAGGCAGGGAAGAAACCTGTCATCCTGTACTGGGAGGTGGCTGCCTGCACGCGGGGCGGGCCATCAGCAGGACCTCCCAGGATAGTTTGAGAGGGGTCTGTCCTGATGGTGGAGACTGGGTGGGAAGAGGGGAGTGAGGTGGATGGGTTTGAGGGGTGCAGATGACTGTGTGGGCCAAGGAGGCAGCTTGACTAGGGTGGGGTCACAAGAGGATCCAACTGGGCTGTGGGGAGGCTGGGAAAGGGGGAGATCCAGTGCATCGATCATAGATTCTGAATTGGTGGGGCCAGGAGGAGGGACGCATTTCAGTCCGTTTGCCAGCAAGGATTTCGTGACAAGCTGCTGAACACCTTGTAGTCTATGAGAAAAGCCTGTGCTGAGGTGGCTCTTGTCCTGCAGGTGCTGAAGCCAGACAGCATCTGTCTCTGTGTCAGCGATGGCAGCCTGCTCCCCATGCTGGCCTGGCACCTGGGGGCAAAGCAGGTATGGGGCACATCTCCGTTGGCGTCCTCAGATTCGCCCCTGAGGTGGGGTACATCACGTGGTCTGGGACCAGGGCTCTGTGGTTCAAGCTGTCACTGCAAACGCAGCTGTGTGGGGGGTGGCCTGCTTGGTCCAGGGGCTTGGGGCGCTGTCCCTTCCTGTGCTGGCAGGAGCCAGGCGATAGCTACTGCCATAGCCGCCACTCAGGTTTCTGATGTGTCGTTGCTGGGTCTGTGCAGAATGTAGGTGCTGTCCCAGGGAGGTGATGAGCACAGTGAAGTTGTTCAGGTGGGGCCCTCTGCCTTGGAATGATCTTGCCGCCTTTGAGCTCTATAAATTTCTTTCTCTGTTAAGCAAATTTCTTACACTAATAGCATGGTGTTCTCTTTAGGTATTTACAGTAGAATGTTCAGCAGCTTCTCACAGACTGATGAAAAAGGTAAGTGCTAATTGTTTTTGAAATGATGGACCTTTGGGGCTTTCTTCCTGAGTCCGGGTTCAGTCACTTTGAAGCAGCGTCGTACCAAGGGAACTGGGAGAAGGAGCAGCTGCGTTGAGAGCTGGCCAGGAAGCCTTCTAAGCTGTCACTGAAACAGAAGCAAACACTCAGACTCCGCTTGGTTTTTTGTGACTGAATAAGTTTAGGCTTTTCTCCTCACTTCACGTAAAAATAAGAAAAGTGACACCTTCGCTGTGATAAAATTGACTTTATGGCTTGTTTCTGGGAGCCCAGTGCCCACAGAGTCGGTGCTCACAGCCTGGCCTGACTGGCTGGTTCCGTGGCGCTTGCTCTCTCTCTGGCCAGTGATTGGTGTGCTGTCTGCCCTGAAGGAATGACAGGCCTGTTATGAAGTCCTGCGTATGTGCCTGCAGGAGAAGCTGCTTTTGCTGTTACAGCATTTTGCTCTTGGTCTTGCCCTTGCTCCCAGGATGTCCCTCTAGGGGAGAATTTCCACAAAGCAGGGGAAAGTGGAGCTCCAAAATGATTTGCCAGAACACTGCATGCAGATAAAAGCAACTTTGAGATGGTTTTTCTGAACAGAAACAATACTTTAGTAAAAAGACAATAATTTTACTGTTTTTTCTCTTAAGATCTTCAAGGCTAACCACTTGGAAGAGAAAATTAATATAATAGAGAAACGGTCTGAGTTGTTAACACCTGCAGACCTGGGGGGTAAAAAGGTGAGTAACAGTGCTCTGCGTTTGCACTGGGCTGTGCTTAATATGGACAGACAGCACTGAAGTGGCCCTAGCTCACCCTGATGGTGGTCTCACAGGCAACTTCCCAGCTAAGGACTGATCAGTCAAGAGTGTGTGAGGAGCTGTAGCACTGCCCGGAACTTGGCTTCTCTGTTAAGCAGCTCTAGTGAGCATGGCTCGTCCTCTCTCCCTCTCCTCGGCCTCACCCACCTGTGCTTGTCTTCCTGCCTCTGGTGGGCTCCAGCTCCCAGCCCCCAGCATGGGCCTCCGAAGCCGCCCCCACCAGTGACCTCCTAGTTCTAAACACGACCTCCCCACAGGCCTCATCTGACCTGACCCTAAGACACATAGGACCCAGGACACCCTCCCTCCTTGAAACTTTTCTTTTTAGGTTCTTAAGAGACTACTTTCTCCAGGTGTTCCTCTTACCTTCATGGCTGCTCTTTCTTGGTCTCCTCAGGGACTTCTCTTTGCTCTCTACACCCTTTCTGATGGAGGTTCCTCGGTGCTCCATCCTTGGCTGCCCTCTCCCCTCTCTCTGTGTTCTTGTTCCACACCTGCCTCAGTGGCCACCTAACCTGGGTCTTCAGTGTGGAAGGCCCGTTTACCTTTTGGGATTTAAATCTCATGTCTACCTGCCAACTGGCTCTCTCTCTTTGAATAGCCCTCAGGCTCCTCAAGCTGGACTTGTCCAAAGTAGAACTTACCCTCTTTCCTGCCAATCTTTTTAAAAAAACACTTATTGAGTTACAATTGACATCCCATGAAATTCACCCATTTCAAGTATATAATTCAATGATGTTTAGTAAATTTATAGAGTGTACAACCATCACCCAATCTAGTTTTAGAACATTCCTATCCCCCCCCAAATTCCCTGGAGTCTGTTTGGGATGAGTTGCCACACCCAGCCCGACACCCAGCCCCCGGCCCCAGGCAACTACGGATCTGGCTTCTTTCACTGAGCTTAATGTTTTTGATGTTCATCCAGGTTGTAGAATGTGTTAGTGTGTTGTTCCTTTTTATTGCTGAGTGATATTCCATTGTATGGGTGTGCCACATTTTGTTTATCCATTCATTAGTTTATAGACGTTAGCTATTAGGATAATGCTGCTATGAACATTTGTGCCCAAGTTGCCCTTCTTTCTTTCCTTATAGATGAGGTTTTATAAAATATAATATTTAAATACTGTCAGCCATTTATATGGTACCAAAGTCAAAATTATAAAACAATGTCTATGTAGAGAAGTCCGCCTTCCATCCCTATCTAGGGTCTGTCCTGGTCCCTCCTACCTCCATGGATAAATCATTTTTTATTAGTTTTTTTTGTGAATTCTTCTGTTGTTCCTTTTTTATTTTTAAATTGTGTTAAAATACATGTAAAAAAAAAATTACCATTATTGACATTTAGTACTTTTACAGTATGGTGCAGCCATCACTGTGATCTAATTCCAGAACATTTTCATCACCCCAAAAGGAAACCCTGTACCCATGAGCCTGTTTTTTGTTTGTCTTCTTATTGAGTTGCAAGTTTTCTTTGTGTGTTCTAGATACAAATCCACTATCAAGTCTGGGGTGTGTCTTTTTTTTTTTCCCCCAATGGTACCTTTTGTAGTATAAAAGTTTTTAATTGTAATAGAGTCCAATTTATTATTTTTTATTTTCATAGCTCATGCCTTTGGTGTCATATCTAAGAACTTTTTGCTTAACCCAAAGCCACATTTTCTACTATATTTTCGTTTTTAAGTTTTGTAGTTTGAGCTCTTATATTTAGGTCTATAGTCTATTTTAAGGATCCCTGGTGGTGCAGTGATTAAGTGTTCAGCTGCTAACCAAAAGGCCGGCAGTTCAAACCCACCAGCTGCTTTGCAGCAGAAAGAAGTGGCAATCTGCTTCCATAAAGATGACAGCCTTGGAAACCCTGTGGGGCAGTTCTTCTCTGTCCTATAGGGTCACTATGAGTCGGAATTGACTCGATCACAATGAGTGTTTTAATAGTCCATTTTGATTTTTGTGTATGGTGTAAGGAAGGGGTACAACTTCATTCTTTTGCATGTAGATACCCAGTTCTTCACAGCACCGTTTGTTGAAAAGACTGTTCTTACCCCGACTCCTTTGCTTCTCTGACCCCTGTTCATTCATGTGTGTATTTGTCACTCAGCAAATGTTTCCTGAACATCTGCTCTGTGCCAGGCCCTTTGCTGGGTGGCTGGGGATCCTATGTTGACAGTGTCCCCAATCTTGTGCTGCTCAGAGCCAAGTGAGGGAGGCAGACAAACACTGCTGATGAACTGTGATGGTACAGCTTTGGTGGTGATGCACAGGGTGCCATCCTGGAAGCCCTTTCTGTTGCTCTTTCCTCTGGGGTCCCCCCCATGCACCATCTGCCAAAGCCCTTATTGCCCTCTGCAAGGACGGCCTCCATCCTTTCTGCTTCCCCTCCGCTCTGCGTTCCTGAGAACACAGCCTGTGTCTGTTTCTCATCTTCAGATCCCCAAGTCCAGGTGCACTCCAGCATGAGTGAGAGAATGGATGGATGGATGGCTGTGACTTCCATGTGGAACTGTGGCCTTTCCTTCACTCTGCAGCTGAACACTTATGACACCTGCGCCTGCTTCTTGCTCTGCCCTCCAGGTCTCTCTCCTGCTAGGTGAGCCGTTCTTCACCACCAGCCTGCTGCCGTGGCACAACTTGTACTTCTGGTATGTCCGGACCGCCGTGGACCAACACCTGGTGCCCAGCGCGATAGTGATGCCTCAGGCTGCCTCACTGCACGCCATGGTCGTGGAGTTCAGGGTAGGCCACCCCGAGGGACCTTATCTTTTCTGTGAGACCTTGGGTGCAGACAGGCAGCTCAGCTTCTGGGGATTTGGGCCTTTGCTTTCCTGTATTAGCACGGTGCGGGTTGACAATAAGAAACTTGCCTTTTTAATAATGCCATCATTTGATATATGAAATGCAAATGACTGTGTGTTGTCATTTCACGATTGTGCCTTATCAGAATAATTAAAAAACGTAAATGAAGAGTTTCAGGGGACATGCTGTGCAGCCGGCTCCTCTCTCATTAAGAGCCGAGGCTCCAGTTGTTAAAAGCATTTTGAGATGGGAGAGTTAGCTGCTTTATGCAAGAAAAATTTGAAAAGCTTCATTTTAATTTTCTCATCAAAGCAGAACCACAGTCACAAAGTCATTTTGGGAAAGGCCTTTTTTCTTAAAAGGATTTTGAAATGATTTTAACCTGATGTGTACAATGCGTCTCATTTGCTATTTCTTTTATAAGAACGGCTTTATCCGTTAGTAGTTAGTAGCTCCATCACTTAATTTCTGGGCATTTCTTCTCTGTTCATGATTTGCCTGATCAGGTTTCTACGTAAATTCTCGTCTTCGTGGCCAAAGTGGGCATGGAGAGAATGGTGCTGATTCCCAGGCAGGCAACCCCGGGGACAGAGGATGGAAGATTTGACTGGCCTGAGGGCAGCCCTGGGAATCTGAACTTCTGGTTTCCTGACTTGGAGAGCCTTTTGATCTCGCCTCTTGTCCTGGCGCTCTGTTTATGGGCACTGAGCCTTGAGGAACTGGTTTACAAATTTCCTCCCAAAGAAATGGTGTTAGCTCTGGCACGATGCACTGGAGTCCAGGCCGGTGGCTCTGGCTGATTGTCCTCTCACAGGAGAGGACCTGGTGTCATGTCAGTGATTGCAAAAATCCCTCCTAGCAACTACTACAGAAACTATCCTGGATCTTGAGGTCCTCTGAGCCCTTCAGCCTCAGGGTCTCTGTTGCAGGTAGATGTGCCTCAGAACTGGGGCGGAGGCTGCTCCCACCTCACCTCGCTGACTCTTTTTGCTCTTGTGGCCACACGTCCCTGTGTCCTGGGTAGGGTAGATGTCTGCTTGCTGTCCCAGAGGCCCTGTGGATGGGTAGATGATACTGTGCCTTCCCCCACAGGACCTGTGGCGTATCCGGAGCCCCTGTGGTGACTGCGAAGGCTTCGATGTGCACATAATGGATGACATGGTAAAGGTAGGCGTGGCTGCAGCTCAGTGCAGTGTCCCACCCATTCCACATGGCCACAGGCCTCTGACTGGGACATCTGGCTGCTCTCAAGGGACCCAGGGCAGGCAGTATAGGCGGTGTGCAGATAGCTTTATGTTTGGGGAGTGAGATCCTTTTATTGGGTTCACCATGAGCATTAACCTGAGGACCACTGTTTCTCCAGTTATGACACCTGCTAAACACCTGGGCCCTGTGTTACTAAGCCCATTCTCTGGGGCTCGGGCCCATAGGTCCCCACACCCTTGGAGCCACCCCTTCCAGTATCCACAGCTTGTTCTCTGTTGGGATAACCTTTCCAGAAGGCAGCGTGGTGACCTTCTAGGGGAGCCATTTTCATTTTGGGGACTCTGTTCCCAGGGAGGGTATAGAGCATGGAGGGGGCTGTATTGAGAGGGTCACTGCAGCATTGTGTATGCAGTCAGTGTTGGCAGCAGCCTAAATGTCAACAGCAGGGGTTGGGTCAACCACTAGGGCCTGCATTTTCCCTGGACCCAGGGCAGTCATGAAGCACCAATGGTTTTTACCCTGTAGATGGAAGTCAGGAGAGACGGGACATGATCCCATTTTTATGTATTAAGAAAACTTGCATATACACAGAGGAAAATGTGTAGACTAGTGGACATCAAAATGTTAACTGTGTGAGTTAGAAGTGGTTTCCTGTGTGAGTTTCCTACTTTTGCTTAACTTTCGTTCACATTTCTCTACAGTGAACGTGGGTTGCTTCTATAAACACTTTTTAAGTAAATAAACCCAGTGGATGGTTTCTGTTTCTATCTTATCTGTCTCTGCTTCTAGAAGGCTGCCTCTCCTTTGTGCCCAGATGCCACATACTCCTGGGCCCTTCTGCTCTCTGACTGCCCCTGAGGCTTCTCTTGAATCCCTCACAATCTCCCCACTCCCTTAGCCTCTTGCTTCTGGCCTCCCCAGCTCCTCTGTTGCTGGTGTGGCTTTGCCACTCTGGCTTCTGGTCAGTGTCTGCGTGTCTCCTGAGTGTAGACCAAAGAGCTAAGAGTGGCAGTGTCTCCACTGGGATATCCTCAGGCACTTTGACCTTTATGCTTCCAGAATCCACTCTCTCCCCCAAGCCTGGCCCCTCCAGTGGTCGCTGCCTTAGACCTGGCGTCACTCATACCTGACCGCTCTGACGCCAGGACCCAGGCGGCCTCCCTGGCGAGGCCTTCCTCGTCTTCACTTGCAGTTGGTCCTCAGCTTCTGGGGCTCCTCATGGAGCCTCAAGCCCTCACAGCTGTAGGTGGTCAGTAAGTGGTACTGAATGAGTGAGTGCCAGGCGTTTTCACCAGTGTAGACATTTGGTCCTCAAAATAGCTCAGGAGGTAGGTATTGCCACCCACATTTTTTAAAGGGGGCAGATGAGGCTACGAAAGGTGAAGTGACTCACCGAGGAGATAGCTAATACACAGCAGCAGGGAGGGGATAAGCGGCTGGTCTGATCCAGGAGCCCAGAATTTTCCTGTGGCTGTATGGTACCCTGTGGAGGCGAGGGGAGCCACTGGCATCCACCTGGAGACAGAGACATGAGCCCCTCATCCCCGGGCTGCCTGTCTCTATCTCTGCAGACCCCAGACCCTCATCTCTCCTCAGCGGGCCCTGGATTTCAGGGAGAGCCGGGAGGCTGAGCCGCACCCACTCTGGGAGTACCCTTGCCGCAGCCTCTCTGAGCCCCAGCGGATCCTGACCTTTGACTTTCGGCAGCTGGTACCCCAGCAGCCTGTCCGTGCTGAGGGCGCCATCGAGCTGAGGAGGTGAGTGTAGACCTGGGGGACAGGCTGGAGTGGGTGAACGAAGGGGTGGGGGCACGGCTGGCCTGCAGAGCCTGACCCTGCAAGGATGAGTCGTCTCATTCTTGCTTTCCATTGTTGGCAGTGACCCTGAGTGGGTAGTGGGTCCCCACAGCCTCGGGGCATATGCAAGTGGGGAGGGAGTGCCCAGAGTGGGCACTGCTGTCACCACCACATCTGAGGCTCCCTTTGAGCTCTGCAGCATGTGGGATCACAGCTGCAGAGAAACGTGCATTTGGTTACCATGGTTACTCATTGGCCCATGTTCCTGAACTCTCCTGGGAATTAAAGCAGGTTAGAAAGCTGTGAGGGCTGCTTGTTGTGAGGCAGTCAGGCCCGTCCAGCTCTTCTGTCAGGGAAGGAACTGCTACTTTTCTGGTGAGAGACCCTCCCTCTGACTGGAGGCCTGTTAGCTTGGGCTCTTCGCGGCTCTGACGGGAGGCAGCGAAGGCAGGGCACAGGCCTTCCTGGGCCTGCCATGGAGGGCATCCTGGGGAGGGTCTTCCATCCTTCGGTGCCAGCACGGCACTTGGTGCTTTCCGGGCTGAACCTTTCTGTACCTCGGGCCGAGGGAGTGGTTCTTCCTGCAGCAGCTGGCCTGCCTGGCGGTCACTCTGAGTGTTCGGCCAGGCTACGCGGAGCCGGTGGCCTGTGAGCTTGTGGTGGAGGGCACAGCCCCCTTTGCATTTGCTCAGCTTTTTCCGCATGGCCTTTAGTCAGGGAGAGTGTTAGGAGCCTCCTGACTGGGCAGGATGGTGGGGAAGAGCAGGGCTGTGCCACCCATTTCTTGTGTGACTGTTTGCCTCCCTGCCCAGGCCTGGGAGAAGCCACGGGGCTGTACTGTGGATGGACTACCACCTGACCCCGGACAGCACGGTCAGCACCGGCCTCCTGAGGCCTGCAGGGGACAAGGTACTGCTGTGTGTGTGGGCCCGAGTGTGCGATACCTGAGAGCAAGCATGCTGCTCGGGGAAGCAGTTCCACCCCCTGGGCTGTGGGTACTCCTGGCAGGTGCTTTTCAGGCCAGGTGATAACTCATCCATTGCCCCAGATCACCTGGCATCTGAGCAGCTTCCCGCTGTGTGCTGCCTGGGCTACAGGCTGACCAGGAGGGGGTTTGGGGCCAGGAAAGGCCCTCGCCATCTTCTGTCTGCTCCTCCCACAGGGAGACTGTTGCTGGAACCCCCACTGCAAGCAGGCCGTGTACTTCTTCAGCACCAGTCTGGACCCCAGAGTGCCACTGAGCAGCCCACAGTCAGTCACCTACACTGTGGAGTTTCGTCCTCACACAGGAGACATCACCATGGATTTCAGACTCTCAGATGACCTGGGTAGTGTGCACTGACCCTCAGTTGTTGGAAATAAAGTGGCTCAAGGGCACATGGGCTATGACTGGTTTGTGGCTTTCTGGGAGGGCAGGCTGAAGGTGCTCTACCTTCCAGGGACCTGCTTAGCCTCAGGACTCACAGGAGGCCGCTTCTGCTTTTGCATCCTTGCACTGCCTCCTCCTAGCTCCAGGTCCACATGCTGCACGGGCTGGTGCTTGTTGGACTAGTAGGTGACTGGGTTTGGAGCTCTGAAGGGGCCAAGGAGCCCACCGTGGGGGTAGAGGGTGCCAGAGCCCTTGCTTCTGCTTTAGGATTGCTCAGAAAACTCTGAAGACAACAGTCTCTCCTGCTTGCCTTGGAAGGGACCAGAAGTCTGCTGGGTGGGTGGGGGGCGGTTAGGTTGCCTGTGCTGCTCTCGGCTGGGCACTGCCAGAGGTGGGTGTGGTGCAATGGAGGGAGCCAGCCACGTTCTGGGAATCTCCAGCTTCCTGCCTACCTGGCTGCAGTTGGGAGGGGCTTCTGTGGGGGAAACACAGGGGCTGAGCCCTGGAGCCTAAAGAGCCTGTGGAGTTGGGCTGAGAGGGCTGGTGTATGGCCCTCCCACACCTGGGTGACCTCACCAAGCCTATTATGTGTCTGGGCATCAGGTCCAAGACCCAACAGCCAGACCCCAGGCTGCTGCTCACAGGAGAGGGAGGAGGATGTCTGGGTGCAGTTCCTGAGATGCAGCCAGGGGGCTGGCCACCAGGAAAGGGAGCCTGGAGGTGCCGTGGTCCCCCTTACTGTTTCTGTGGCTTATATCGGAAGGACCCAGGGCAGATGGGGGACAGTGCGGAGCCACCCCAGTGCCAGCCCTGCTTTACTAGGGAAGACCTGAGAATCTGAGGAAACGAGGAGACACAGACCAGAACGGCCTGGCCTCCTAGTGTTTCAGGGCAGATTCAGCTGTCCCCTTGCCGCAGGGCAGACAGGCATGGCAGTCACCCCCCCAGTGCCCTGGGTGGCCCTCCCAGGGTTGGAGTCAGAGCAGGCCCGGCCCCAGCTTGTCGCTTTAATAAGTGGAGACACCAGCCTCAAGCCTCACAGTTTTATTTTCTCCTTGCTATCCATCCTTCCTTTCAGCACCAATAAAGGAAAAAACACCCCTCTTTTCAAAATATTTTATCAGGTGTAAAGATTGTTTTGTTCTAGGGAAGAATCGTCTGGATATATATTTGATAATGTGTTTACCAAAACCTTAGGTGTGCTTACCATATAAAACCCCTATATCCCATGTGGATACGATACAGGAAAAAATACAGAAATTAAAAAAGTTTTTTTTTTCTTTTTTAAAACAGTATTTCTAAATCTCAGCAAGTTAATACAATAGTTAAAAAGCATCAAGATTAATATTCATACTCAAAACTCAAGGTGGTTTGGACAAATGAAAATGGATGTTTCCTTCCTCCGCTGACCGCCCTCCCCGCCCCCCGCCCGGGGCTTCTCTTGAGGAGGCTGGGCCAGGGCAGGCACAGAACCTCGGGTAGGGGTTTGGGGTGTACCCCGGTGCCTACCTCCTCCCAGGCCTATATGTCACAGAATCTGAGATCCTGGAAATGTTTCTTTTTTAAAAATCAAAAGCGCCTGGCTTGCACACAAGCCCCGAGATCCACAGGCTCAAGGAACCGTGTGACTGGCGATCTTGGCCTTGTGCGAGGCTGCGTGGCTGCGCTAAGGGGTGTAAGGAGAGCTGGAAGGCAGGGCGGCCTGCTCTGGACGCCAGGGACTAGCTTGGCAGAGGTGACCTTATGTTACCAACAGAACAGGGGCCGAGGCACAGGGAGGTATGACTTGCCTAAGGCCATCCTGTGATTTGGAGGGAGAGAAGCAGGTGTCCTGACTCACAGTCCCCGCACCGCCCCTCCATGGGGATGCCGCCCCTCTGGGCTGGATAGAAGCTGTGCTGGAGTTGCTCAGGGTCAGGCCTGGCCTCCTCTGTCTCAGCAGCTCTCCCGGGGCACAAAGCCACCTCGCAGCTTAGGGGCCTCAGCTCAGTTCTGGAGCCGCCCAGGTGAGAGCCTGAGAGCCAGGTGAGCCCTGCTTCAGGAGCTAAGTTGAGGCCTGGGAGGCCAGAGCCTGGGAGGGGGACTGTGCCCTTAGGTGAGCCCGCCTCTTTCTGGCCTGGACATGGGTAGGAGCAGGGCTGCGGGCTGGGGAAGGGGAAATGTCCCTGGCACTGAAGCCCTCAGTCCAGCTATCCCCCATGCCAGATGGGGGTCAGACAAGCCAGTGTCATCGTGCTTCACGCCGTAGCTCCGGGCTACCCAGGCACAGGCCTGGTGTCAGGCCATCTGCTTGGCCCCTTCTTGGTCCCTCTTCCAGCTCAGTCAGTGACAGGGCACAGCATCAGTGCACCAGCACCAGCAGGCTGCTGACATAGGGCCCTGGCAGTCCTTCCCCAGCCTCGCTGGGCAAAACTGGCTCAGAGCCAGGCTGGACACACAGGGCACTGCAAAGGAGGGACTGGTGACTGCCAAAAACAGCCCCCCAAGTTAGAGGAGCCTTGCACCTCGAGACTGTGTCTGTTAAAATGGCAAGTGGGCAGAGGCAGTGTTCACTCGGGGTGGGCAGCTGCCGGCTCCTTTCTCAGGCCTGGTGGCAGACGAGGGTTTGCAGGTTGTTGGCAAGCTCTGCTGCGGCCGTGCCTGGGGCCCCAGGCTGGCCCTGTTCACACAGGTGGCAGAGTGGGGTTCTGTGTGCCTGGATGCCAACCAGTACCACTCCCTGCTATGGCCAAGCGTCAGCCTTCAGCCTTGGTGCCCCCCCGCCGCCCCCCCAGTCTACACACCGCTCTCTAGCATGGAGTTGGGGGACACTCTTGGGGAGGCCAGGCCTGGGAGGACAGCTGTGGCCCCACCCAGAGATGGACGGTTCCTGAGCTCAGCCAGCACGGGATGAGGACAGCCCCTGAGGAAGGACTGGTCCTGAACCAGAGAGGCGCTGAGGGGAGACTAAGGAGGATCAGGCGGAGGTGAGGCTGTGTTGGTTCGGACAGAAGAGAAGCAGCTACAAATTGGTATCATTTGCAGAATCAGAAGTCCCCCCCACTCCCTTATGCTGAGTTCCCCTCCTCCTATAAAAAAGTGGGTGCCCTCTTTTTGGCGTTCCCAGTTATGGCTCCACTCCCCAGGTCTGTGTCTCCGGAGAAGCCTGGTGGGTGAGGGGAGGGCTGCCAGAGCCACTGGGCCCTGGTGTGCCCGGGCTGGGGGAAGGACCCTGTCTCAGGAAGAGCAGAGTTCTACCTAGTGACTTACCGACCCTTTAAAGGGAAGGGTTTTTGTTGTGGTGGTTTTTTTTTTTTTTTTCTTTTTCTTTTTAAAATGTAATCGCCCTTGAACGCAAGACCCTGGGGAAGAGCCCTGGGCTTGCTGTCACTGGACACAGCCCTCATGGTCCTGCTCGTGAACCATCGGCTAGAGGCGGGAGCTGGCGGCCCTGTGCCCGGAAGTACTTCTTTGGCTGGTTCTGATTGTTTGGCATTTGGCCTTGGGTGAGGCCGAGCAACGGTCTGTGTGGCTACAGGGGCATGTGGCATGCAGGCAGCGTGCATGCGAAGGTGCAGGCATGCGAGACAACATTGGCAGCAGACAAAAATAATGAACCCTGGACAAAGCTTGAGAAGAGATATACAAAGAATACATAAAACCCGGTTCTCATACTAACCCACGGGTTACAAACTAGGTTGTGCTGTAGATTCGTAGAAAATCGTTTGGAAAGAATGGCACTGGTTAGGCAGCCGAGTCCCGGCCCAGCCTGACTCGGTCCACAGTGAGTGCCCACAGGCACAGGCAGGGCTGCTCCCGGCTCACTGGGGACATGGCTGTGGCCCTCCTCCCCCAGCACGGGAGGGGTCATGGCCCAGGGACGAGCTGCGGTTCAAAGGGCTGGCACAGGCCCTGCTGCTGCAGACTGCTGGGCAGGTGGCAATGGGGCTGGTCTATGCCTCCTCCTCGCCGGTGGACACCATCAGTCGCATGGCTACCGGGAGGTGGTCAGTCAGGCCTGACAGCTGGGTGATAAAACTGAATTCTTCCACCTCCTGGGGGGGGGGGCACAGAAGCATCCTGGTTAGACCCAGAGGGCACCCTGCAGGGGAGGAGCCTGGGGGCATGGTGGCAGGGCCTGCCTGAGCAGACGGATGGGACCTAGAGATCTGTGGGAATGCTGACCTCATTCTAGGAGGTGAGAATGGCAGGCTGCTGAGGAGTGCAGGGCAGGGTGGTGGGTAGGCCTTCCCTCCCCTCCTTCCCCCCGACCCCCCACCCCGCTCTCTGACTCACAGCCTTCCAGTCGGGGCCCAGCCCCTCCTCCCCATGAAGGATGTAGTCAATGCGACGACCGTTGCCCTTCAGAAGGTCCTTGCGCCCCTTCTGGCCTGCTCCGGAGCTCTTGCTGGTGGGGAACGCCAGGTACTCCCTGCGGCCTTCCTCGCTCTCCAAGACCCTGTTCACACAGGTGAGCAAGGTGAGCAGAGCCCCCCGCCCCCACCAGCCTAGCAGCACCTACATGGTGAGCCCCGGTTTCTTCCTGAAGTGGGTGAGAAGTCAGCCCGACCAAACCTTTGGGTTTAAGATTTATCTTTCCTGTGTCTCCAAAAAAGGAGACGGGATGGAGGGAAACTGAGTCAGATCCTGCGAGTTCCTGGCTGAATCAGGCACCTCGAAGAGTCTGTTGGGTGACCTGAGGTGTTTGTCAGGCCTGCTTCTAGCTGCAGCTTGGAGCCTGTGGCCTAGTCGGGGAAAGAACTGCCTCTACGCCTCTCCAGAACGGGCTCTGCTCTGTGCCAACAGGGGCCTGTGAGGGGGAGCTTGGTCTTTGCAGTGAGCCTCAGGGAACCCTTCTGTCCTGAAGCCCCCAGGCCCCCATGACTGTTGTTCCAGGTTGGCAGAAGGCAGGAGCCAGGAGAGCACCCAAGCGCTACCCAAGGACTCACCTCTGTGCCAGTCTGTCCCTAAGCAGTTGAGCGACCTGGCTTATACTGCTTACCCTGAGCTCCATTTTCTCTGTGTGAAACAAGAATGACTGCCCTGGGCCCAGACACTTGGGGATAAGCAGGCCACAAGCAAAGCAGAGGTGGGAGGCACAGTCATGTGGGAGCTCTTGGTCATGGTTACCAGGGAGGGCCCGCAGCTTGGGCGAGGTCATTACACCTTGAATCTGGACCTCCTGATTCCCTGCCTGGCATCATTGCCACAAACAAGGAGGGTGCTGGCTCCTTCCTGTCGCAGACCTGCCCCCCAGGGGGGAGGGGCTGTAAGGAGTACCCTCACGGGAGCTGGCTCAGGCCTGTGTCTGGGGTGGGAGGAGACTGAGGTGCCTGGAGAGGCCCTGCCAGCAAACATGGACTTCTATAAGAAGCCTTTTGTCACCTTAAGATAAATACACTAATGACATTCAGCACATCCTTGCAGCTCTGAAATATAATCCATTACTGTCCTTTGCCTTTGATAATTAATTCCAGCATCAGTGATCTGAGAGTTATTGAGTCATTTTTTAATCATCATCTCATAAAAAGATAATTTTCTCAGCATAGGATGATGTTTCAAATTTAGCCGTAATCTAATTAATTGACTCAAACTGGCTGCAAGGAGCCACTGCCACGACTCTGGCATCTTGGCTCTGAGTTATAAATTGGTTCTGCTGTTGGCTTCTCAACAGTGTGTCTGTTATGAAAGTCTCCTCAAGATTCAAGAATGAAGTTTGGCTGGGATGGCATTGTTTCTGTTCTGAGAATGACCAGCTTGTGTTATCTCTGCTCATAGTTTTATTCGTCTAATTGGTGACCACAGCACTGGGCCCCCTTGAGCAGAGGCCCCACCCAGCAGCCCTTGCAGGGTCTCAGCAGCCTCGGCCTCGGCCCAGAAGTGCTGGCCCCTTTCCTGTAGGCTGGGCCCGGGCAGGGCAAGCTCTCAAAAAGTGATCCCAGACTCTGGGTGATGGTGTAGGAGACCCACCTCCAAAGGCCCTGGGACCTGCTCTGAGGCTTCTCCACAGCAAGGCCAGCCCCAGGGGCTTGAGGGCCGCCACTCCCTCCACCACCTGCCCCGGTTGAGTCCCTGAAGGTCTCAAAGGCCTCTTTCCCACCTCCCCAGGTGTGGGGTGAGGGGCGGTTTCAGCCTGAGCTGGGCCCTCTCCTGACTCCTCTCACACATCCTTTAGCCCTGTCTGGCCACCACCTGAGTTGGGGGCTTTCTGCCCCGTCCCAGACCTGGGAGCTGGCCTGGAGGGGTGGGTTGTTGGCTCCCACCCCGACTGCAGCCATGTGGGTACTTACTTCTGCAGATTTTCTGGGGTGCACACATCCTCATCATAGAGGTTGTTCGTATCCAGCAGGGTACCTGGGGACAAAGGGGAGAGTGTCACTCGAGGTAGGGCCCAGCCAGCTTGAAGGAGGACCTCAGTGAGGGGAGGAGGGTGGGTGAGGGCATCTGCCAGCCTGGGGCAGCTAAGTGTGGCCTTCCCTGGCCGGGGCCTGTAGGAGTCCTGTGATCTCTCCTGCGAGACCTGTGAGGGGCCCAGCATGGGTGCAATGTCAGAGCTTAGCAGAGCGGCCTGCCAGACCCTCCCCAGCTCAGCCTCCCAGCCCAGCCCCTGTGCCCACACCCTGCCATCTTAGCCGCAAGCTCACCAATGGCCCACGACTTCTCCTCCCCAGGGCCAAGGCGGCAGGGGTCCTTGTAGCGTGTAAACAGGGAATGCTGCTGCTCCAGCTTGTCATCTGTGTGGGAGGAGGGAGAGCTGGCAGTCAGGTGTCTGGCCTGTTCTGTGCCCCTCATTCTGGTCAGTTACTCCTGCCAGATGTCACCAGGTTCCTGTCCTTTGGGTGACTGCCTCTGGGTGGAGTCTGTGCTCCTGGACAGGTGGGCTTGTGGTTCATCTGCCTCTGGTTCTCTGTGTCCCTGTGAAACTCCTTCCGCTGGTCTCAGTGTTCCCATCTCTCTGAGGACAGTGGTCACTGTCCCTCTTGGGCCCCAGAGGACAGTGACCTTGAGGCCGTCCCAGACCCTGTGGCAAACCTTGTTGGGAGGCTGGCTGATGCTACCCTAGCAGGAACCCCTACCCCTGCTCAGAGACCTGGTGCCCAGGCCTGAGTGAGGAATGGACCCCACAAGACTCAGAGCGGGAGGTAACCTGTCCTGGGCTCCCATTTGTCTGGCCACATCATGGAGTCAGAAGGGCCATCCTGAGACTCCCCAGGAGGGAGGAGAGGGTGCTGATGGAGCCTGACCGGGTGGGCTGCCTGCCCTGTGCTCCAGGTGAGACCTTCTTGGTTCCCACCTTCACTGAGGGCTGGGGCTTGAGCTCACAGGCCTCTGTGTCACCCACCCCATCCTCAGTGCCCAGGAGCCTGTAGGCCGGGGGTTTTCCCAGCACCTGGCTCCTCAGGGCCAAGGGAGGCTCAAGGCTGCCCCAACCCCTGGGAGGCCCCTAAGAGCAGTATGTTCATCTGATCACAGAGCAAAATAAAATTTAACCAAGGCTCAATTTTCAGTCTTTACCTAGTGGCTTAAAGCATGATACCCAGGGTTCAAGTCCCAGTTGAACCACTTACTGGCTGTGTGGCCTTGGGCTAGTTATTCACCCTCTCTGGGCCTCAGATTCCTCTTCCACACCATGTGAATATAACAGTGCCTATGTCTCCTGCTAACCAAAAGGTTGGCAGTTCAAATCCACCAGCCACTCCTTGGAAACCCTATGCGGAAGTTCTACTCTGTCCTGTAGGGTTGCTGTGAGTTGGAATCAACTCGAGGGCAATGGGTGTACCTCTTAGGGGCATTATGACACTTAAGTGAAACAGTTGGTCCATGAAAAGCAGTTAGCATCATGCCTGGCACAGAGTAAGAGCTGAATAAACAGGCAGTGATTAGTAACCGACTCTCTGTTACTCTGAGTTTGAGGCTCTGAGCCTTCCTGGTCAGAGGTTCATTTCTGGGGCATCTCTTTGTCTCCAGGAAGGAGGCCTCTGAGCTTTCTAGGCAGAGCGTGGGCTCTTCCTGCACTAGGACTTGTAGGGGGCAGAGAAATCATAGTTTTGCTAAATACTCCACCCACACTCTCATGAGGAGCAGGAAGTTCTTCGAGCTGCCTAGCCCAAGTCTTTCCAGCTGTGAGTGGGGCCTATGTCCTCCCTGAGCAGCCGACTAGAATGGGGAGAGGGGTTGCCTCACCGGAGGAGCAGTTGTCAAAGTTGAAATCTCCACAGATGACGTCAAACGCCACCAGCTCCTCGGGGTTGGCTGCGCTGGACGAGGAGGTAGATTTTCGGAAGTCAGTCAGCCAGTCCTGAAGCAGGTCCAGCTGCTCACAGCGGATGGCGCTGTCTTCTGCAGGGCAGAGTCAGAGACCAGATGATAAGGCTCAGCCCCAGGCGCCCGTCCCAATCGTGGGAGGGTGGATGCCCACCCCGGAAGACCACGGGCTGCTGGCCTACCTGTTGTGGCTTGCAGGTGTGTGCAGGAGAGGTACCCGACGATTCTTTGGTCCTGAGGTGTGCTTCCCACCTGCACCTGTGTGGGAGGGGCCCACTGTCAACCACAGCATCTACAGGGGTGATCGTTGCTTCGAACGCAAAGGGACACTGGGAACATCCACTTGCCCACTGGGTCACCCTGATAAGCCCTGCTCTGTGCAGGCTCCTGGCTAGACTTGGACCCAGGTAAGAGCCGGACAGGGCCTGCATCTAGGAGCTGTGGCCCAGGCTGGAGGCAGATGAACAAAGGAAATATCAGCTGATGGCACAATGAGTGCCAATAGCAATTCCTGCAAAGCATTATCGGCAGGAAAAATGCAGAAATCACAGCAGAGTTCCCCCCCAAGCCCCTGCCATGGGTGATCACTACATGCTGGCCCCTTGTCTCCTCATCTGGTCGCTCTTTCCTCCCTCCCTCCCACACCCTCAACCTGATCACGTCCCTCTGAAATCTAATCGGACCCCCCTCTGTGAGCTGCACTAGCCTCACAGCTCCCACCTCCCTCCACCTGAGCCACCTCGGACCCTGCCCGCCCTCCTGCTCGCTCTCCCTAGTCTCTGCCCCTCTGGCTTCACCAGAAGTCACTTCATCTGCTTGACTGGCAGTGGTCCCTGTTAGGCCCACCCACCCCCTTGCCCTGGGGGCTCTGGGCACCTGTGTCAGGGCCTGGCCCCATGCCCACCATGGCCTCTATCCTCAGCCTGTCCTCCTTCCTGTACCTATGCTCCAGCTGTTGGTGCCTGGACTCACCACAGCCGTGTCACAGGCCACCAGCTTCAGAGAGCCTCGGTGAGCTTATGGGTTTATTTTGCTGCCAGACTCGGGTTGGTATCATTCTCCTCCATATGGACTGTCTCACCACCAAACACCCTCAGCTTTCTATAGCCCTTCACCCCCTTTCCCAGCCCAGAAGGGCATCTTTCCTTTCCTTTCCCAGCGCCCGGGTAGGTAAGTGTCTGGCTGTTTGATGATGGGCTATAGGGTCTGGATTTGGGGTTGATAATAAACTCATGTGTTCACCATTCACTTACCCATATACCAGACCTAATTCTCAGACTAATGGTACCTCCCACCCTTGGAATGACTGGGTGAAAACCACATTCCATTCATGCATCCTGTTGCAAAAACACAACCCATTTTAAAAACCGCAATGCCCCCACAGAGCCACAAGATGATGCTATCAATCTCTGTATTTCTCAGGCAGCAAGTCTGTTCCTCCTTAATAATAATACTCACATGTGAGCATTATGCCTCCTGCCTCATGTACATTATCTTGTTAGGTCTCACAACGACTGTGAGGATTATACCAAAGTATATCATTTTAATAGCTGAATGCGTTGAGGCCAAGCGAAGTTTAGTGATTGACCAGGTTCGCAAAACTCCAAATGGTTGAGGCAGGTTCAAATTTAATCTGTTTGCTGCCTCACACTAAAGGCCTCACCCTCGCTCTAGGCTGCTGCTTTCCGTGCTCCTGGGGAGTTGGCCCAGCTCTTCAACAGTGGCCCACTTGTTGGCCTATAGTGTCAGTCTCTCCTTCACTCAGCACTTGGTGGCCTCTGCTCTGTGCTGGTCCTGGGCAGGGCACAGGGCACACAGACTGTCACACTCAGCCCTACCACTAAGGAGGACCCAGAAGGAGGGACACACACACGGCAGCGTGGCCACGTCCACATTCTTTTCCTTGCTACCATGTGTCTCGGCCCCCTCACCTCACTCCTCTCTCTTAATTAGCCATGTGATCTTGCCAAGATCCACTTTATTATTTGCCGGGACTTACTGATTCCCGACTTGTGTTGTCGGAAGCCATAGAGTCTTGTGTTTCTCTTGCAAAAACAAACAATCCCATTGACAGGCTGTGCCTTTTAGGCCTGGTGGGCAAAGACTGTCAATAGAAAAGGTTTCCAGAATTAGGCTGTGTCCTATAAGAGGCAAAGGGGGCCCAGCCCCTCCACAGGGAGTCACGTTTCCCCAGAGGATCTGAAGTACCACAGGGAACAAGGAGGCCAAGGCTGATGAGGTGTGTTGGGTTGGCCGTGCTCCCGAGGGGCTCAGTCTGATGGCAGAGATGGTAGCCGAAATGCCTGGGGACGGGGCTGAAGAACCGGGAAGAGAAAGCCAGCTTGTGCTGGTGGGGCAGCAGTTGCCGAAAGCTCCACAGAGACGCTGTGGCCAATCCCAGAGTGGAGCCAAGATAAGGAGAAGCAGGGTGTCTGGAGGCCCGTGGTGGTGGCATGGCTGAGCAGAGCATGGGAAGTGGTGGAGGGGACTATAGAGGAGGTGGGCCTTTCCCTGAGGCAGCAGGGAGGCCTGGAGGGTGGGTAGGGTGGCAACTGGGAGTCAGACCTGGTGTGGGAGGCAGAGGATGGGTTGGAAGGGGTAGGACTGAGGCACAGAGGAGGATTCAGAAGAAGGTAGTGGAGTTGGAAATGTGGAATGGATCCCGAGGTATTTAGACAGTGAAATTAAGAGCCTGGGATGGATTGGGAGGGCCCCTTCTGGCTCAGGGAGGGCAGGACAGGGCGCGTATGATGAGTTTGGTTTGGAGCGAGTGGGAATGTGTCCATGAGGCAGCTAGATGCAGAGCTGGGTTTGGAGAGATGTGGGCTGGACTAACCTGAGTATCATCAGCGAGGAAGTCGCACAGGCAGGTGAGGGCGATAGGCTGTGGGGATCACTTGGGAGTGAAGAGGGCTGGCAAAGTGGGGTACATCCTTGCCCTAAGGCCACCCCCTCAGCTCTGGCTGACTGTGGCTGGGCTGGGATCGGTCAGGCCTAGTGTTGTCAGACTTGCCAGTGTGTCAAGAGAAGCTGCAAACCAGGTTTTATGTGAAATATCTTGATTTTTAAATGTTGGTCATTAAAAATTTTTTCTTAATGGACCAAATTAACCATATCTGTAAACTAGTTTTAGACCCAGGAGGTGGAGGGAGAAGAAAAGAACGTTCAGGACAGAGCCCTGTGGAGCGTCAGGTTTAAGGGGATGGGCAGCCCCAAGGAGACCAGCTGGAATAGCCAGAGAGGTAGAACAAGAGCCCAGAGCAGAGGGGCTAGTCCAAGGAGATTGTTGTTGACCTTGGTGGGAACAGTGGTGGGGCCAGACAAGGAGGGAGGTGAGGAAGGGACGTGGGGACAGGCCTGCCCAGAAGCGGTACAGGGTGGGAGGCAGAAGGAGGTACCCTGGCCTCTGAGCCATTTGTAATCAGGCGGGAGTGAGAGGGTATGCTCTCCCACCCTGAGCCTGACAAATTGTCCCCTTCTTCTTCAGCAAAGTCACTCTGGCTGCTGAGACAAAAATATATCCGTGGATATATTTCAAATCACATGCCAAAATTGGAAGGTTGGATCTACTTAAGAGAAGTTAATTCAATTTCAGCATCTCATACTGTGAATGAAGAGCTGGGACCCCAACTCTGGGCCTGGCTGAGCCACATAGGAGCCATCAAGTGAACCAGAAAGTAGGAGCCCAGGCCCTCGGATGCCTCCCTGCTCCATGGAGACAACAGACCCTGGCAGCTGGCTCCTGGCAGGGCCTGGCCAACACGTCAGCATTTTCCTGGATGGGCTGAGTCTGGTCAGAGCTGAGGCCTGGGGAATGAGAACCTCACCATGCTTGGACTTTTTGTGTTAGCCACACTAGGTACCCCTCATCCCCTTCTAGAGGGGAACTGAGAAGTCTTGAGGGAAACAGGTCCCTGGGCAGGCCTGAGCCCGCAGCCCTCCCTGCTCAACCTTCACTTTCTCACGTCTCACAGGAAAGGGAGAGCGCCCACACCCCAAGCAGCTGCTGCCTCTGGGGGCAGAAAGCCCTTTTCTGCATCAGATGGCCAAATGATGCTTCAGAAAACTCTGGAAGCACCAGGAGTGGCTTTTGGATAGAAAACAAAAAGTCAACACTGTAAGTGTCTCAGGCTCAGTAGAAGATAATGCATAATGACCAAATTACTATTGTCTAAAACTCCTCCAATTGCATCCAAATTAGCAGAAATAATTGTAATTCACTTTAATGACTGTGGAAGCAAAGCCATGTGCTGGTGGGCAGAGTGCCTGGCAGGGCAGTTGCATGATGGCAGGAGGGAGGGGGTCGAGATCAGGCAAGCTCGTGGCCTAAGCCAACTGGGCGTGGATGGGCCTGAAGCCTCTGAGGTTCCTGTCTGCCTGCTTGCAACTCTTGCCTGTGCTGATCTCTGTCTTGTGGGAACATTTGTTCAGTTACGGAGATGGTGCCTGCTGAGGGGTCCCCTACCTCCTCGTTCCTCCTCTATCCCCACCATCATCACCATGGCCCCATTACCACCATCACTACAAGAGCTGATGATCTGAACAGCAAGCCTCATGGTCACTCCCCACCCTGTAAGTACTACATTGTCCCCATTTTGCAGATGGGGAAATCATGGTTCAGGGATCTGAGGAACTTGCCCAAGATCCCCCAGCTGGGTCTATCCGACCCTGGAGCGTTTGCTCTTGCCCCAACATTCTTATTCTTGTCCTTGATTGGGGCCTCTGGTTCAGCTCTGTGAAAGGCTTGTCTGCTCCCCATCTCCATCCCTCCAGAGAGAAGAGAGGACTCCCTGGCTGCAGCCCCCCTACCAGTGTGGCTCTGGGACCAACTGGCTTGTGGCCCTCGGGCTGAGCCAAGGCTTCCTACCTTGAGAAACAGCGCTCCCTTGGAGGCCAGGGCATCGGAGCACCGCCCATTGGGGTAACAGTGATAGGCCACTTCCATAATGGGGTAGCGGCTGGCAAAGAAGAGGCCGCTGTTGAGAAACTTGAAGCTGCAGCAGCCGTGGCTTCTGTAGCAGCCGTAGACCCCGACGTCGTACAGGATGTACTCGAAGTAGCCGTGTAGCTGGTCTTTCAACTTAACAGCTGCCCGCGTGTCAAACACCTCCTGTAGGCACAGGAAGTCCAGGTTGGCGGGGAAGAAGGCCGAGATCTCGTGGTCAAAGGCCTCGTCTGGGTGTCGTCTCTTGCGAGCGGCTGCCTTCTTCACCACCGAGGCCTTGTACAGGAGCTTGCTGTTGGTGGCACCTGGCTCCCCGCCACCACCGTCTGCCCCGGCTTGTGCCTTCACCAGAGACTCCCTGGAGGCTGAGGGGCTGCCAAGGCTCCCCGAATCCCCATCCTGCTGACTGTGGTTGGGTGTCTGACCCTTCTGGCCCCTGGCGGCCCCGTTCCTGGCCTGGTTCCCAGTGGCAGGGTCGTCTGCTTCGGGAGGCCGGCACCCCTCCTCACCACCAATACGGACGATGCAGGCGTCCTCAAGACTGCCGCCGTTGTTTGGGTCCCCAGAGGCTGGGCTGTTCACTGCCTCATCACTGGGGCGGCGTCCGCCATTGCCTTTGTATTCCACAGAAGCCGTCCTCTTAATGCTCCCAGCAACAGTCTGGGCAATGCCATCACTGCCCTGCGGTGACACCAGGCTGCTGAAGCTGGCTGCACTGATGGAGGTGTTGGTGGGAGAATCGATGTAGATTTTGATCTGGGGCCGACTGGCCCCATTGCGGATTCTCTGCCCAATCTCTTTGGCCCGTGTTTGTACGTGAAAAACGTTGTTGAGCCTTGCGAGTGATTCGGGGAGGAGGCAGAGGTTGGCAGTGGCAAAGCAGAAGCTTTTTCCAGTACCTGTACCCCTCCATTCACCAAGCAGAGCCGCCCCACCGGCCTGGCCCTTATCTTCCAGCCGTGAATAGATGTAGGGCCGGCGGACAGACTGCAGGGGGAACCAGAGGAGGAACCCAAGAAATCCCAAGGGCAGCGCGGCGACAAGAAGCGCCAGGTAGATGGGCGTGAAGAGGATGATGCAGAGCAGCTGGAGGTAGCACGGGCTGTTCGCCCGGTGGCACTTCTTGCAGCTGATGGAAGTGAAGGGGGTCAGGAGCCGGTCCACCACGCAGTAGCATGGGAAGATGAGTGCCCAGGACACGGCATGCAGGGCGGACAGACAGCTATTAGGAAAGGGGGTCGTGTACAAAACCATCGCAGCTCACTGGGCACCGCGGCCAGCCCTTCTACATGGTGTCTGTGGCAGCTGCAGGCGCTTCCTGGGGGGTGGGGGGAGGGTTGGGAGGGCAGGTGGAGGAGGCGTCAGCTCCTAGAAAGATGGGACTCCGGGTGGTCAGTGTCAAGTGTCGGCCAGCCGGTCATGGTTATAGCTCATTGGGCCATCTTGGACACTGGGTGCCAGAGAACCTGCAGAGACAAAAAGTGAGTGGGGGTGTTACTGATCTCTAAGAGGGAGAAGGTGGGATGCTGGTGCCATTGTGCCGGCTCACCCCATTCCTGCTTCCTCCAATGTGAGCAAGACCGTTCTGAGGACGAGGCTGGAGGCAGCAGGCTCGTGTGGGGCCAGGGGCCATCTCATCCCACTCTGTTTGCCTGTGTGTTTTGTCCTTTGAATAAAGAGCTTGATGACATGACTGCCCCTAGCTGATGATCTTGACCTTTTAACGTAATTGCCTTAAAAATGGCCTCAGCCTAAAAGAGACTGGAGAAACCCTGAGAGTACAGCCCCCAGACACCCTTTTAGCTCAGTGGTGAAGTCACTTCCGAGGTTCACCATTCAGCGGGGGATTGGACAGCCCCATAAAACAAAAGGGGACTAATGAGGCACAGCAGTCCAGGGACAAGGACTAGACGGCAGGAGGGGACAGGAAAGCTGGTGATAGGGAAGCCAAGGTTGAGTAAGGACAGTGTTGACGTGTAGTGAGGTTGTTAACCATTGTCATAGGGCAACAGGTGTACTCTTTAACGAGAAACTATTTTGTTCTGTAAGCCCTCATCGAAAGTGAGAATAGCAGCACAACTGGAAGAACGTAGTCGATGTCACTGAACTATGCATGTAGAAATTTTTGAAATGGTGTATCTTTGGCTATGTATATTTTCACCAAAAAAAGAAAGTAGAGGAGGGAGATGGTTGACATGTTGTGGGATTGTTAACCAATGTCATAAAGTAATATGTATACTACTGTTTAATGAGAAACTATTTGTTCTGTAAACCTTCACCTGAAGTACAATTTGAAAAAAAAAAAGAGAGAAAAAAGGCCTCAGGATTTTGGAGCTTTGTGGGTGCTCTGGAGGCAGGCAGGGATCCTAGAGGATGTCTGGGCCTGACCCTGGCCTGGAGCAGGGGGCAGGAGCCAGGGGCATGTTTAGAATGGGTGGGCGGGTGACCCCGGGTCAGAGGAGCTGCAAACACGGCCACCTGTCACAGAGTGCCAACCAGATCAGAAAAGAGAGGAAACAAATGGCAGAGAGAAGGGGCTGGTGACGCCCAAGGTAGAGGGAAGTGTGGCTTGCTGGCCCTAAGGGGGCAGCCCAAGCCACAGCTAGGCTCTTGCAGTGGCCTGCAACATGAGACCAAGCCCAGCAGTCCCAACCCCACTGACTCCCAACTGAAGGTGTCAGGCACAGCCTGTGCCTTAACTTCCAGAATGATCAGCCCCTGTGCCTTTTGGGAGACACTCCCTTCGGGTTGCTGAGTCTGGACTAAGCTTCAACTGCTCTCCCCCATGCCTCTCAAGATGCAGCCCCAGGGCCTGGCAGAAGCTCCCAGCTGCCAGGGTCCCCCTGACACCCTGGGTCCTCCTCCCAGTGCCTGTGGGAGCCAGTATGGGTCTCAGAGCAGGCCCAAGTGCCCTGCCTGGGAAGAGGCTGCCAGGTGCATTTACTGTGCTGAAGGTGAAATCAATAAAGACAAGAGTCTGGAGTGTTTACCCAACCTCCAGGGACCTGTGGGTGATCCTTCTGTGGTAAAACTTGTAGAAGCGTAATCGAGTTCTCCTTATCAGATCGGCTGGGGTACCCACTTCCTGCTCATTTTTTCACTGGCCCGGCCCAGCTTGCTGCCCAGGCACCATGGTGGGCTGTGCCCATGTTGCCACCCATCCGGGCCCCAAACCCTCTCTCTTCCTCCTCCTGAATTCCTGCTCACCCAAGCTAGAGACCTGGGTGTCATCTCAGTCCCCCAGCCCATCAGTCCCTTCTGCACCCCGCCCCCCTAAGCCCTCCTGGAGGCCCTGCCAGCCCCTGCATTGGCCCAGGGCTCCATCACACTTCCCTACCGATTTTGTCAGTCTCCTTTCAGGCCATCCTCCACAGACGGCCGCAGGGACTTTGTCTGAATCTGACCATGCTGCAATGGCCTCAGACCCACCAAGGGACTCCCTCTGCCTTAGCTGCAAATCCTGTTCCCTCCACCAGGCCTGCCCATCTCTGCTGCCCCATCCTGCTTTGATGTTCACCCCCACTCACTGTGACAGTGGCTTCCTGCTCACCCTGCCATTTTTCATCCCTCTGCCCCTTGCCTAGCTCACCCTTCTAAGACCCAGCTTAGAAATCACCTCCTCAGAGAAGACCTTTGGCTTCTCTTCCACAGGTGGCTTAGGGATCTCCTGTCCCCTTGTGCACAGCTGGCCTCTTACAGGACATGCCCACGTCCCCAGCAGCATCCTGAGTCCCCAGGCCTGGCCCGGCAGGTGCTCAGGAAGTGGTGTGCAGGGAAGAAGGAACAGTGATCTGCAGTGCCTCTGCCAGCAAGGAGACAGTTCTTCCTCCAGTCCAGTGGTGAAAGAGGAGAGGGTTTCTGTGATGCGTGTCAGTCCCTCCCACAGCCACCACCTCCTGGGCTGACATGTGGCTGCTCATCCCAGACCAGGGGTAATGTCTAAAGACAAGCCTATGTTGGTGCTGTGTCCACTTCTGGTGAATGAGTTTCACAAGGATTTTACTTTGTTCAGGAGAAATAAGTTTGAAACCGGCACTGGAAGGGTACAGTTCGGAGAAGCAGGTGTGTATGCAGGCGGTGGCCATCCTACACCGAGGCTCTGCGCCGGGCCTCCGCTAAGTCTGGGAACTGCCGAGCTGTGAGCTCTGCCTCACGGCAGCTCTGCCTGGTCTAAGCCCTCTGGGCAGGGCCTGGATATGAACTGCTCCTCATGCAGGTGGGAACAGTGAGGCTCACTGGGCGAGGGTGGAGGTGAAGCTGGGGGTGGTCCATGTCCCCTCACTTCTCCCTCGGCAGGAGCTGGGGAAGCTAGCCCAGAGAGAGGACCAGAGAAGCCAGACCAGATGAGACCCCTCTGACCTCCTACCCTGAATCCCCAGACCCAGTCAGTGGCCTCCACCCCTCCCCCACACTCCAGCCCAAGTCCTGGCCTCTGAAGGTTTATGCCAAAGGAGGGCCCCGTGCGGGGCTGGTCCTAACTTGACAGTGCTGATCTGACAGCTGCTTCTGGGACCCTGTGAATTCAGGCCCGGCTATGGGGCTGCTGCTGGGAAACCCATTTTATAATGACAGGGGCTGAAACTGGAGTCCTTGCTGCAAGTGTGCTGGGCCCTCCGTGGGCACCATTTCATCCCTTCTGGGGGCCAGTGCTCTTGTGTGCTTCCAGTGTCCTCCCACGCCTGCCATCTGGCCTGGAGACTCCGGGACGTACGTACTGTTGTCATGGATTGAATTGTGTCCCCCCAAAATATGTGTCAATTTGGTTAGGCCATGACTCCCGGTATTGTGTGGTTGTCCTTCATTTTGTGATTGATGTAATTTTCCTATGTGTTGTAAATCCTAATCTCTGCCTGTGGTTAATGAGGCGAGATTAGATTATGTTAACGAGGATTAGGGTGAGATGTAATACCCTTACTCAGGTCACATTCCCGATCCAATGTAAAGGGAGTTGTCCTGGGGTGTGGTGTGCATCACCTTTTATCTTATAAGAGATAAAAGGAAAGGGAAGCGAGCAGAGAGTTAGGGACCTCATACCACCAAGAAACAAGAGCCAGGAGAATAGTGCATACTTTGGTCCTGGGGTCTCTGAGCGGGGAAGCTCCTCAACCAGGGGAAGACTGATGACAGGGACATTCCTCCAGAGCTGACAGAGAGAGAAAGCCTTTCCCTGGAGGTGACGCCCTCAATTTGGACTTGTAGCCTATTAGACTGTGAGAAAATTAATTTCTCTTTGTTAAAGCCATCCACTTGGGGTATTTCTGTTATAGGAGCACCAGATGACTAAGATACTTGTTCTTTCTTAAAAACCCTAGTTCATTGCTGTGAGAGGAATGCTTATGGTCTGCTGGGAGGTGGGCATGTCCTGTAAGCATTTATGATCTATAACCTGGGGATGGAGCGACAGCCCACTTACTCTCCCACCCACGCTGGGTGGGCTTGGCCCTTCCGCAAACCCACAGCCCTCTTTGTGTGGAGCTGGCTGGCTTCAGGCTCTTGTCTCTGCTGGACCAACTGCAGGTACCATCCCTCCCAAGCCTCCCCAGCCACTAGCAGCCCCTGCATCAGCACCAAGGTACTAGGGGTAGGGGCCCAAGGCAGACTTCTGGGGTTACCTGGACATTGCCTCAGTATCCCAGAGCAGGCCTACTCTCAGTCTCCCTTGATGCTTTCCTCTTCTTCTCTGTGCCCTAAGGTCACCGGCCCAGCCCAGCCAACACCATTGTCACCTGAGTTCCTGCCCAGGCACTGTCCCTCCTGTCCTGACACAGCTCCCAAGCGCCAAACCCACTGTCTGCACTGTGTGTATCAGAGGATCTTCCTAAGCACAATCCAGTCATCTCTTGCCCTTAGGTGGTTCCATTGCCTCGAAGGACAAAGTCAGTTCTCCCAATCTCTGTCTAGTGGCCCTTTGTGCTCCTGCCCCCCACTAACCTGCTGTCCCACCCACTCAGCAGGAAGGGCCTCAGCAGTACAGACACACCTTGCTCTCCAACCTTCAGGCCTCTGCACCTAGAACTCTCTGCCTAGAATGCCCTTTTCCCTCATCTCCTGTCAGCTCCTCCTCAGCCTTCAGGGATGGGCTGAGATGCCACTTCCTCAGGGGGTCTTCCTTGACCCTACCCAGGGCTGCCTATGATCCCCAAAGCCCTCTCCGCACTGTGCTGTGTCATCCTGCCAGGAGATGGAGCTATTTATACCTAGGTCCCCAAATGGGCTGTGCATTCCATCAAGACCCTGTCTGTCCTGTGGCTGAG